AAGTTGCCAATATTTGACCCTTTTGACCTACTGAGATGGTAATGTCTATAGTATAACCTAACACTCTGGAGATAAATAGGACTATAAAACACACGTACGTAAGTTTTATGTCCCAAACTTCTGGAAACACTTTCACATAAATATAACCTACCTGACCCCATTTCTGCCTCCCCTCCACCCACCTGACCCCTGCCTGCCATGCCCTCAGGTGTTAATGCACAAAGCCCAGCTAAGTGCCAAGAGGGGAGGCCTCTCCTTCCACAGTGGTACTTACTCAAACAAAATGGGAAATTGTAGTATCCAGCTGCACACTCCTCACAATTGTCTCCATGGAAATTTGGCTTGCAGGTACAGCGGCCTGAGCCCTGCTCACAGTCGTCCGCATGCTCAGGATTACAGCTGCAAGCTAAGAGAAATTCCAGTTTTCAAAGGATCAGTCCTTCACTGCAGTTAATAAGACAAGTATGTCTTTCTTGGGCAATGTTTAATACTCTATCATTGCTCTATGGTCATTCTTGAAAAGGCACACCCTGTTTTCCACTTTACACGCGGTTAAGGGTTCCCATTGACTGAACTCTATAGGCTATCAGAGATGAGCTTTTACGAGCATCCACACTGAGATGTTCTCGAGAATGGAGCTTATTACACTGAGCACTGCTCAGCTCACTGCAGAAGAGGCAAAACCTGTACCAACTACCATCAGAGCGGCTGGGTGGATGCGTGCTCTAGCTCCTAGCAGGTCTGTTGGGCACAGCTTCTCTTGGCCATGAGCCCACTGTGAATGTCCATATACTGGTCATCATTACACAGTTGTAATGCGGACACAGTGTGGGATGCCTAGTCATGGATATGTAATCTGTGGACAGCATAGCAAGATTGCACCCATAACCCAAAGGCTAGATTCAAGTGATACAGCTTACTGAAGGCAGTTCTTGCAACTACACAAGTATTATGTTTGCATTTCAGAGGGACATACTTGTGGTAATAGAAGTTTTGGTACCACTCCCACTTCGGAGCTTCCCTTAATCAGGCAGGTCCTCACCTTGGACAGCAAAAATACTGTCATAGCTCAGCTAAGTATATGACCCATGAGGAACTGAGAGACTGCAGAAACCGTGAGCAACAAGCACCCCTGCCCCCCAGCCTGACTTGTCCTGGTGACTTTTGCTTAATTTGTCTAGAATTTATGTGTCCTATGGATTTTTTATACTAAGCCTCTAATATCTCTATGAGACCACTTCTGTGACAAAGAGAAAAACTAGGAAAGTGATGAAAAATTGAGGTTCCTAACAAGGTATGACTGCGTTGATGTCTGTTTTTCTTTGTCAATGCCTATTTTTTGTGGGCACAAGAAAAATGATGGACATACACTTCGTGGGATGGTGTGGAAGGAGGAAAAAACAGGAACACACTTAACAACCAAGAATGTCCCAGAGAGACAGATCAGAGTTCACATGTTCTTTGGAATTTGATACCTTTACATGTTAATTATATGAAGAATGAATTTGGGGGATGGCGGGCACAGAGGCCAACTTCAGGACTGGGTTGTTTTCCAATGGTGGCAGCCAGAGAACAGAAAAGAACCAAATAGATTACACAGGTAGGGTAAAGTCCATAATCTGACCTCTGATTGGTAATTCCACAGGAGAAGAACCAATGGTGTCTTTCTATATAATAGATGTGGTATGTATGGCATAGTGGCTCCGGACAGATATGAACTGTATCCTGGATCTGCCAGTTAGTGTCTCTGTCACCTGGGCTAAAATAGTTAACTGCTCAGACCCTTTGGTTTACCCATATCTAAAAATGAAAATAATACAACATCCTAAGTTTATTGTGATAATTAAATGACATTTGTGAAAGTATTTAGGCAATGTCTTGCATATAGCAAATACTCAATAAATCATAGCTATTTTAAATATGATGAGTATTATTAAGTCCTTGTAAAACCTTTACTACATTGTCCTGATACTACTTCTGACAAAAATTTGAGATTACTGGAGATCATAGAAACGTGAAAACAACGGAAAATGGGGGAACTAACATTTATTAGAGACCTAGTATGTGACAGGTCCAATACTTACAATAGTATTTTCCTAGGGACTTTTGAGGGCATTTCAACTAATCTTAGGGACTATATTATCATTTCTATTTACATATAAGCAATCTGAGGCTCAGAGAGATTATGTAACTGCCTGAGGTCACATAATAGGGACTGAACAAATAATATGAAGAAAGAAGGTAGGAAGGGAACTAATAATGATCAAAATTTAGCCTGATGACTTCCCTGAAGCAGCATACACAGGTTAAGACAAACGGGGTTGAAATGAAACTTACGAATGCAGCCATGAGGGGCATCAACTGGAACACCATAAGGGCGGTAATAACCCTTAGCACACTTTTCACAGTTTACACCAGCTGTGTTATGCTAGAAAGAAATAAAAGAATTGAGAGGGGAAAGTACTTATTTTGTGCTATTCATCCAGAAATAATTGTCATATCCAATAGTAATTTCAAATTCACTAAAAGAAAATAAGCATTGATTCTGACCTTGAGTCTCCAAGATTTACCACAAGACACTGGTATAAACTTGGCTCTGGTAATTTTTTCCCATTAATAAAGGGACTGAGAGCAAGTTCCATGACCTGGACAGCCCAAGTTTTCTCTCCTACCACAGAATATGCTTCATGAAGCACCTGACATTTGCGTGAGGAGAAAAAAACCTCAAGAGGACAACTCTTCATAGCTTTATTCAGAAGAAGTGATGAATGGATAATAAATCACCGTTAGGTTTGATCGAAGGAAGAAAGGGTCATGTGTGTATTTTTATCTTCTCTGCTTTCAGAAGAAAACACATATCCTCTTCCCTCACGATTCTAATTTTATCTGGGCTTTAGTCATGAAACCATTCTCCAAACATTTCTGTTGCATGAATGGAAAATGTAGACATGAGTCTCATACACAGAGCTCATTTTAAAGTATAATACTAGGCAGCTTTTTATATTTCATGGTTAATTCCTGTAATTGCCACAAAATCAAATTACCCAACATGCATCACCAATTTCCAAGAACCNTTGTAGGTCCTTGCTTTTCATCACTTTGCATATTTCCTGCCAATCCCTTCTGTCCTGAAAAGTTTCTGTTGAGAAATCAGCTTACAGTCTTATGGGAGCTCCCTTGTAGGTAATTAACTACTTTTCTCTTGCTGCTTTTAAGATTCTTTCTTTGTCTTTAACCTTTGGCTTTTTAATTATGATGTGTCTTGGTGTGGGCCTGTTTAGGTTCATCTTGTTTGGGACTCTATGCACTTCCTGGGCTTGGGACTCTCTGCACTTCCTGGGCTTGTATATTTATTTCCTTTCCAGGTTAAGGAAACTTTCCATCATTATTTCTTCAAATAGATTTTCAATTCCTTGCTCTCTCTCTTCTCCTTCTGGTAACCATATGATGTGAATATTGGTACACTTGATGTTGTCCCAGAGGCCCCTTAAACTACCCTCACTTTTTTGGATTCTTTTTTCTTTTTTGTTCCAATTTTATACTACCTTAACTTCTAAATTGCTGATTCGATCCTCTGCTTCATCTAATCTACTGTTGATTCTCCCTCATGTATTCTTTGTTTCAGTTATTGTAGTCTTCATTTCTGACTGGTTCTTTTTTGTTTTGTATCTCCATTTTTATGTTTCCTATCTCTTTGTTGAAGTTATCCCTGAGCATTCTTATAATCAGTGTTTTGAACTCTACATCTGATAGATTGCTTGTCTTTATTTTAGTTAGTTCTTTTCCTGGAGCTTTGTTCTGTTCTTTCATTTGGGATCTGTTTCCTTATCTCCCCATTTTGGCTGCCTCTCTATGTTTGTTTCTATGTATTAGGTAGGTCTTCTATGTCTCCTGGTATTGCTAGAGTGGCCTTATGTAGTAAGCATCCTGTCGGGCCCTGTGGCACAGTCTCCCTGGTTACCTGAGCCAGGTGCTCCAGGTATGCTCCTCGTGTGGATTGTGTGTGCCCTCCTGTTGTAATTGAGCTTCGGTTGCTGGTTGCATGTCAATGGCAGGGACTCACCCTCGAGCTGAATGATTGTGAAGACAGGCTGTGACTACAGTGGAGGAGCGGTTGTGCAGGGGCTGATCCTGTGGTACAAGATTCGCTTTAGCAAGGCTCTGGTGCTTGCCTAGCTTGCCCTTTTGGTGTGTCATCCTTGGAGGTGACCAGGTACTGCTCTGTCTTGGTCTAAAGGTGGCCACCAGGTGTGCCAGCATGCCTCAGGCCAAGTTCAGCTGCAGCCTGTGCCCTGCCCAGGCCACTTGGCAGGAGCCACAAAGCAATCCACAGATGGCCACCACTCACACTGGGCTTGGAGGTGCCTGGAGAGGCCAAGCTGCGAACTGAGGCTGGCTGCTGCTAGTGCTGGGCTTGGGGCTGCTCAGCAAAAGTACTGGACATGCCAAAGCCAGATGCTGCTTGTTTGGGATTTGAGAACTTTTGACAGGTGTTAGGATACTCTGCAGCATACGCCATGACAGGTCATTTGTATGGAAAAGCCACTGGAAGCAAGCTGG